CAAAGTACCTCCCACCCGAAAGGCTCAGGTCCATGTTATTTCAGGTTTTAGAATGTGCCCATCTATTTCACCAGCTGAGACACTTGGCTGAAGCCTCCAAGTCTTCTGCTCCGCTTTGAGGTTTTTGGGTGGAACCAGGGCCCGGAGGGGCTAGGCAAGCAGTAGTCCACCACTGAGCCATACTCTACCCTTATACCATGATTTGGTTGTAGCTTCTGTTGGTTTTCTCATGTAGCCCAGGCTGGCCTCAAACTAGCCTGTCCTAGCTAAGAATTACCAGCCCAGGCGCTGGGATTATGGACTTGTGACACCACACTCAAGCTCCTTAAATACCACTTACACCGATGTGTCAACCAGCTTTCATCCCAGGCTCCACGGTATGAGTCCTAAGTCCAAAGCCCAATCTCTCCCTTCAGCTCCTTCTAAGCACCCATATGTGCTGCAAATCCAAGTGTGGTGTTCTGAATGTAATTGGCCCCCATAAGCTCATGGAGTGGCACTATTAGGAGGTACAGCTTTTTTGGAGTAGGTTTGGCCTTGCTGGGGGAAGTATGTCACAGTGGGAGCCGGCTTTGAGGTTTCCTATGCTCAAGATACACCCAGTGTCTCAGTTCACTTCCTGTTGCCTGTGGATTCAGACATAGACTCTCAACTCCTCCAGGACCATGTCTGCCTGCATGCTGCCATGTCCCAACATGATGATAATGGACTAAACTTCTGAATTGTAAGCCACACAATTACATGCTTTCTTTTCTTTTTCTTTTTTTTTCTTTTTTCTTTTTTTTGATTTTTGAGACAGGGTTTCTCTGTGTAGCTGTGCGCCTTTCCTGGAACTCACTCTGTAGCCCAGGCTGTCCTCGAACTCAAGGAGATCCGCCTGGCTCTGCCTCCTGAGTCCTGGGATTAAAGGCGTGCGCCACCATTGCCCAGCCACACTTTCTTTGCTAAGAGTTGTCGTGGTCATGGTATCTCTTCACAGCAGCAGAAACCCTAAGAAACCAAGTTAATCAAACCTTGAGCAAGAAGCACCCTGACTTCTGACGGGGCCAATGATTTCCCCTCTGTGTGCCCACTACTTCCTCTCTCTCTAGGACTCTGCCCTGGGAAGCTATGTTGACACCAACGAGCAGGGCTCTATTCACAGAGGCTCAGTTCCCTGGATCGTCCTTGAGACACCCTTTGCTGGAAGTTCACTGAGAGTGCAAGGCAGATCCACAGGAAGCTAGGAGCATGCTCTAGCCCCCAGCCCCAGCCAATTGCCAAGGGGGTTGGCAATTGATACAAGCCTGTTTCCTCATTGTCCTCCTGCCCATCGGTTCCAATGACCCCAGAAAAACTGCTTGGCTTGAGAAAACTAGACCCAGGGTGAGCCTTGCCCAGTGTGCCCTGAAATCTGAACTGGGGTTTTTCAGGGGCTGGTCTTCAGCTTCCTCACTTGGCTCCGGGACTCAGTTCCCCAAATGCCTAAGAGAGGATGCTGTGCAAGAAACACCAAGGCTGCAGGACTAGTTAACACCTGAGCCACCTGAGCCATCCCGCTAACCTTACAGAGGGCAAGCACCCAGCTGGCCCTCCCCATCCCCACTCCCACGTGGATCCAGAAGGGGATGGGGACATTGATTAATTAAGTCAACAGCGTCAGCAGCCCTGGAGGATGGGCCAGAGGACCTCTGGAGCCTTAGGAGCAGAGGAACAGGGTCCTAAGATGACTGTGGCCTTGGTCTTGATCTTGCCTTTATTTGCTTTATATTTTTTGCTTTTACTTTATGTGCCTGGTGGTTTTTCTGCTTGTATGTATGTATGGGCACCTGATGCATGCCTAAAGAGTTATCAGATCACCTGGAACTGGAGTCTCAAACAGTTGCGAGCCACCATAGAGGTGCTAGGAACCAAACCTGAGTCCCCTCCAAGTGCTCTTAACGGCCGATTCATCTCTTCAGCCCCATTATTTTTTACTTTGAAAGACAGGGTGTCTTCATGTAGCCCAGGCTGTCTATGAACTTCCTAGACAAGGAAACCCTAATCCGACCTTCTACTTCCTAAGTGCAGGAATGCACCTCCACACCTAGCTTTCCCATGGTTCTGGGGATGAACCCAGGACTTCATGCATGTGATATAAGCACTCCACACACCAAGCCACATCCCCAGCCTTCACCTCACCCTTGGCAGGACACAGTACTACATTCTCTTTGGGTGGGGGTGATGGATGACATCCCACTGTGGTTCCCACACCAGGTGGGCTAAATCCCTCCCACTCTGGCCTACAGAAAACTGACTCCCACTGGGGTGCAGGTGACATTGGTAACAGAAGCCGCCCAACCTAGACACTGCTGGACACATGCCTCTGTGGCACGTGTCTTCGATAACCAAGGTCACCCACAGATAAGAGCCTGTATAGCCTGGAACAGCTTGGGATTTTTCCTCCCTGGTCTCCAAGGCCATGTTAGAACATTTGCAAACAATTCTCCTTAAAAACACCACACACACACACACACACACACACACACACACACACACACACACACGGCAAAGTTATTTGAGTGAAAAGATAAAGAAAAGCCAGGACCTGACTCTCACAGAGTTCCATTCAAACACCCAGATGGAAACTGTGACCCAAGCACTTGGGAAAGCAGAGGCAGGAGGATTTCTGTGAGGGATTTTGTTGTTGTTGTGCTTTGGTTTTCTGAGACAGAGGTCTCAAGTAGCCCAGGCTGGCCTCAATTTTGCTATGTAGCCAAGGATAATTTTGAGTTCATAAGCACATTAGTGGCCCACACCTTTGATCCCGGCACTCAGGAGGCAGAGCCAGGCAGATCTCTGTGAGTTCGAGGCCAGCCTGGTCTACAGAGCGAGATCCAGAACAGGCTCCAAAACTACACAGAGAAACCCTGTCTTGGGAAAAAAATAAAAACTGAATTCATGATTGTCCCACCTCTCCCTCCAGAGTGCTAGGATATCACCAAAAACTAAGTTCATTTCTCTTTTCTTTCCCTTCCTCCCTTCCCCCCTTTTTTGGATAAAGGATCAAAACCCAGGTTCTTACTCTTGCTAGGTAAGCATTCTACTCCCAAACTACAACCAGCTGGGGCTTCACAGCAAGATTTTGTCTCATGAAAGAAAGAGCTGGCTGGATGGGTAGCCCACGCCTTTAATCCCAGCAGCCACCCAGGAAAGACGCAGGCAGATCTCTGTGAATTCAAGGCCAGCCTGATCGACATAGTGAAAGCCCATCTATCTCCACCACAACCCTCCACCCCCAAAAAGAAAAAAAGAGGGGGGAGGGGGATGAGAGAACAGAGGGAGGCAGGAGGAACAGGCCCGGATGTACTGATTGCTGGGGACCCTGGGATGCATTTTTCTCATGGGATACCCATCACCTTCATAAGCGCAGCAGACCCCCAGGTACATGGCCAAGGTCTTGTCCACTGTGCCAGTTTTACCTTATCAGTGTGTCTGGTGCAGCAAAACTCCACCATGACCCTGAACTTCACAGATGATAAAACTGACAGCTGAGAATACAGCAGCCAGCAGGGCCTAGATCTGAGCCCAGATGTGTGGCCCTCAGAGGACTCACTGTTGACGACAGGCAGCACTGGACTCTCCCTGGAAAGCCAGCAACACTCAACACTCTTCAAACGCCCTGGACAAAATGAAGCCAAGTCCCCTTCAGAGCCCTGGCCTTCCTCAGTGGCCACTGAGGAGGGAGGAGCAAGCAGGGTCTGGAGGGGTCTGTGGCTCAGGACCCTCTGGAGAGAACAAGAGGTAAGACCCCAGGAGGCTCGGCTGGAGGTGAGCCTCAGGGACCCTGCCCCCGGTTTGCGTGGAGAAACTGCGCCGGCCGACCACAAGTCCTCATTTTCCAGGGAAGGACTTCCCACAGTTCTGATTGCATGAGATGTATTTAGGGAGGACAAGGTCTCATTTGATTTCAGGGATATTTGTGCATTTGTTTGCAGGTGTTTACGCATGTGTGTAGACAGGACAACTTGGCCGCAGTTCCTTGGACACCAGCCATTTTTTTTTTTTTTATCAGGGTTTCATGTGATGAACTGAATGTTAAATTAAATAATAAATGAGCTACACAGGGCAGAGGTGGTGCACACTGTTGCAACATTTGTTTAACTATGTAAAGATGTGCTGCAGTGCTGTGGGATGGTCTGTATGTCAAATGCTCTGATTGGTCAATAAATAAAACACTGATTGGCCAGTGGCTAGGCAGGAAGTATAGGCAGGACTAACAGAGAGGAGAAAGGAGGGAACAGGAAGACAGAGAGAGTCACTGCCAGCTGCCGCCATGACAAGCAGTATATGAGGATGCCGGTAAACCACGAGCCACATGGCAAGGTATAGATTTATGGAAATGGATTAATTTAAGATATAAGAACAGTTAGCAAGAAGCCTGCCACGGCCATACAATTTGTAAGCAATATAAGTCTCTATGTTTACTTGGTTGGGTCTGAGCAGCTGTGGGACTGGTGGGTGACAGATTTGTCCTGACTATGGGCCAGGCAGGAAAACTCTAGCTACATTGCAGTTGTTCAATTATGGAAAGATGTTTTGCTGTTTAGCTTGCCTGCCTAAGGCACCTGATTGGTCTAATAAAAATCTGAATGCCCAACAGTGAGGGAGGAGGTACAGGCAGGACACTTGGTCAGGGAGAGTAAGTAGGAGGAGGAATTTAGGCTCTGGAAGAGAGAAAAAGAGACGCCAGGGGCCAGACAGACAGGAAGCAGGAAGTAGGACATACAGAATGAAAGGTAAAAAGCCGTGAGGCAAAACGTAGATGAATAGAAACAGGTTAAATTAAGTTAAAAGAGCTAGTAGGATGAGCCTAAATTAAGGCCGAGCATTCACAATGAATAAAAAATTAAATAAAACAGGGTTTCTCTTTGTAACCCAGGCTGGCCTCCATCTGTCCCTCAAGCCCACATTCCCGACAGTGACCTCGTACCCAGGCTCTCACTGCCTCCCCAAGCCCATCCCCTACCAGTCCCACTTACTGGCCACCCGCAGCCACACAGGGAACCAGTGGGTCTTATTCAGAACCTCCTGGCACGTGTAGTTGCCTTCATCCTCCAGCCTCAGTGCTTCCACGTGCAGGGCACCTGCATCCTCGAGGGAGAAGCGAGACGAAGCCGGAGGGAGGCTGGAGTTGGAGGAGAGCAGGAAGATGGGCTCTGAGTCATTCCGGTACCAGGTCACCAGGCCCCTGGATCCTGACACGTTGCCACAGGGAAGAGTAACATTCTCATGGACTTCGCCGATGGCCACAGCACCCAGGTCTGTAAAGGGAAGGGCAGGCTGTTAACATCTTGTCTGGTTGATGAGCAACAACCCTTTGGGAACAGTAAGATTTTCTTTTTTAATCGCATGTGGCGTGTGTGCATGCGTGCGTGTTCACATACAAGAGAGGGAGAGAAAGAGAGAGAGAGACAGACAGAGACAGTGACGGAAAGAGACAGAGAGAGAGCATTTGAGGCAGGGGCTCATGCAGCCCAAACCAGCCTTGAACTCACTTCCTTAACACTACTCAAGCACAGAACTTGAACTTCTGTCCCTAACTTCCAAATGCTGGGATTCCTCGCTGTGCCACTGTTTATACAGTGCTGGCGATTGAGCCCAGAGCCGAGTGGATTACAAGTGCTCCAACACTGAGCTAAATCCCAAGCTACTTGACCAAATGTACTCAACAGAGGTGCTGTGATTTGAATGCAAGATGTCCCCCATAGGCTCACATCCCCAGCTGGTCGCACTGTTTGGGAAGGTTACAGAACCTTTAGGGGGCGGGGCTCTGCTGGAGGAAGTGAGTCACTGGAGGTGTGCTGAGGTTTACCTAGCTGGCCACACTTCCTGTTCTCTCTCTGCTTCTGGACGGACGGATGCCCTGAGAGGGATGGCCTGAAGCTCTTGCTGCCAGGCCTTCTCGGTCATGATGGACCGCACCCCTCGGAAACTGTGAGCCAAAATAAACCCTTCCCATCCTTTAACTTGATTTGGTCGGGTACTTTATCACAGCAACAGAAATGAACCATACAACCGCGTCCTCAACACGGCCCCTTTTCAGCCACTGCTGTCCATCAGGACAGGCCCAGCTCCAACTGCAAGAACCCTACATGGGGCAGAGCCAAGGTTCTCTGAGGTTCCAGCTGCAAATGCTCTAGATCATGACATGTGACATGTGAGGGCCCAGGCAAGATCAGCAGAGCTGCCTATCCAATCACACCACAGGGATTGAGCAATAAGCATCCATGTGGCCATTCGTTAGTCCATAATCACACGGCCTTGGGCAGCCATCTTGTTGCCTAGGCATCCAGATGGGGTGGGGGTGGGGGATCAGATGGCCAGTCTTCCTCCCCGTGGAGTTAATCACTTTGGGCTGCTCCATGCAGGAATGGGCTGACAACAGATCCTGTGTACACGCTGGGAGGCAAGTCGGGCTCTGTGGATCTGCTAGTGGCAAATGAGAACCATCCAGTTCACAGGCTGATGGGAAAAGTCACAAAACTAGCAAGGAGGATAGAGGTGAGGGTCAGGGGGCCAGGAAGGGCTCCCAAGGCAGCTGGGGATGTGCCAGGTAAGACTTCCTTCAGGAAGGAGAGCGGGACTCGGCGGACAAGTAGGCATGGGATGGGTTCAGAAGGAGCCAGAGTCCCAGGCAGAGGGAACAGCAAACTCATTGCCCAGACCAAAGCCAGCGGTGATGACACCCATGTGGAATCCCGACACTCAGAGGCAGAGGCGGGAAGGCCTAGAGCTGGACCCCAGCGTGGGCTACACAGTGAGATCCTGACTGGGGGAGTGGGGGGTGGGCAGAGGATGAAGAAGTGAGAAGGAACAGATTTGTCGGTAGGTAACAAGAAACAAATGCAGTCCATTTTCACTGAGAAGTAATATTCCAGCCCTTTCCACAATCAACACCCAATTCTAGAGAGGCCACGGGGACAGGAATTTGGGCAGAACCTGCTGGGCTGATAAAAATGTCCCGGAGGTAATTAACAGCTGGAGGTCGTTGCTATGCACCCTATCACAGCTCACAAGTGGAGGTCAGAGGACAACTTTCAGGAGTTGGGGCTCTCCTTCCACCACGAGGAGGGGGGGACAAGGGGGGGTGCCCAAAGATGGAACTCATGTCACCCAGCTCTATGGCAAGCCCCTCTGCCCACCGAACCGTGTCGCTGGCCCAACAGAGTGGTTTTTACTTTGTTTTGTCTCATACCTGACTACGACAGGGTCTCAAGCAGCCCAAGCTGGCCTTGAACTCACTGCACAGGATAACCATCCAATTCAGGTCCTCTTGCATCCATCTCCCCAGGGATGAGAGTGCGGGAATGTGCCACACCACCACACTTGGTTTTATGGGGAGCTGGGACCCAGGGTTTCATTCACACTGGACAAGCACTCTGACAACAGAGCTAGATCCCCAGGTTTTATATTTTATGAGATATATATATGTGTATATATGTGTGTGTGTGTGTGTGTGTGTGTGTGTGTGTGTGTGTATATATATATATATATATATATATATACACATTATATCTCAGTGAAACTATTATTTAAAAAAAGGAAGAAATAGAAACTGCCACCTGCCTCTTGGTGACCTTGCCATTGAGTGTCCAAGCTGGGTCCCTCCTGTGATTAAGAAAAAGATCCTTTCAACAGACTGAAGTTGGACCGGGCCACCAGAAGTCCCGAGTCCGTACTGGTTACGTTACTCCCCAAAGGCTTTTAAGAAAAAAAAAAAAAAAAAAAAAAAAGACTAGCAGGGTTGTGGGCAGGCCAGTGTCAACAAGATAGAGAATTAGCTAATGCTAGCCACTCTCAAACAGCAAGAAACACTTGAGTGTGATCATTTACAAGTCTGCCCCAAGAGGCAGGTGGATCTCTGTGAGTTCCAGGCCAGCCTGGGCTACAGAATGAGTTCCAGGAAAAAAGGCACAAAGCTACACAGAGAAACCCTGTCTCGAAAAACAAAAACCAAAAACCAAAAAAATATAAGTCTGCTCCAGCTGAGCCTAGTGTCACAATGCCTGCAACCCTGCTGAGGCAGGAGGATCAAGTTCAAAACCAGCCTGAGCTATGAAAAGACCCTGGCTCAAAAGGGAGAAGTGTGTGTGTGTGTGTAAGTAGAAGGATCATTTTCAAATTATTAGACTACCAATCCAGGTTCTCACATGGCGACTTCCACCATGGAAAAGATGCACTGTAGAGTTACATACAGAGGCATGGAGTGTCCCTCAGACCAACCACAAAGGAATAATGCCCTGGAACAGCCTTCATGCAATTTTAACCTGGAAACCCGAGCTCATGTCTTCTCCAAGGAATACAATGACCTGGCTGATCTCCCACTGGCTCTGCCCACTCCACTGCTTGTAACTACTGAAGCTGACTATACGGCCTTAGAGATCTTCCAATCAGTGATGTGGCTGAAGCTGTTCAGCCTCAGAGAAGGGCCATCGATTGGTGATGTCTGTCATGGACACGGAAAGGCGGCTCCTGAAGATACATTGATATTCCCACACACATACTGGTCCCACACATCCTAGTCACACTGTTGACACTTCTGGCTCCACGTGGGTTCCCTAGAGCTGTGGGATAGTCAGTCTTGAGTGCTCTGGATCAGAAGGATTTACAGGGTCCCACACCCCGGACAGAGGAAGACAAAGCCAGGGCTGGTGAGATGACTCGGTGGGTAAAGGTGTCCGCCATCAAACCCATCCCTGGGAGCCCACATGGTGGAAGGAGAGAACCGCCCCCCAGAGTTGTCCTCTGACCTCCCCCTACACACATGTCATGGTACATACATATCCCGCACACAGAGAAATAAAATGTAATTTAAAAAAAAAAAGATGGGCTGGAGATATGGCTCAGTGGTTAAGAGCAATGACTGCTCTTCCAGAGGTCCCGAGTTCAATTCCCAGCACTCACATGGCAGCTCAAAACTGTCTAACGCCAGTTCCAGGGGACGCAAAACATTAATGCACATAAAACAAGATTTTTTTTTTTTTTTTTTTTTTTTTTGGTTTTTCGAGACAGGGTTTCTCTGTGTTGCTTTGCACCTTTCCTGGAACTCGCTTTGGAGACCAGGCTGGCCTCGAACTCACAGAGATCCGCCCGCCTCTGCCTCCCGAGTGCTGGGATTAAAGGCGTGCGCCACCACCGCCCGGCAAGAATTTTTTTAAAAAGTTCAAAAAAAAAAAATCAAAGACAACAAGGTAATGTTTGTGCTGTTCAACATCATTCACTGTCCAGGGGTCACTTTGTTGTGGCCCCCCCAACCTTAAATTCACATTATGCAACCAAGAGGGGAGAGAGAGAACTCTTTGACCAGTGAATGTTAACAATTCGGGACTCTGGGGGTTGGGGATTTAGCTCAGTGGTAGAGCGCTTGCCTAGCAAGTGCAAGGCCCTGAGTCTGGTCCTCAGCTCTGGGGGTGGGGTGGGGAGTGGGGGGGGGGACAATTCGGGACTCATGGTAAGCAAGCAATTCCACTACCAGGCTATATTATACACCCAGCCCCCTCCTGGTCTTGATGCTATCCTTGTTTACACAGCCGGGGGTGGGGAGGGGGGGGTGTGCAAACCCAAACACTCATCTAATCCCAGGAACCCTCCCCAAGCGTGGCCTGGAGTACACCCCCCAGGTGACAAGCTGAAGCATCAATGGCATGTGTAGGTGAGAGTCAGAAGAAAGACACCCACTTCTCAACTGGAAAAAAGAAAGGACTAATAATGTATGCATAACCAACATGCCCCTGGGTGCCCCAGGCACACAGGTAAAGCAGGCCTGAGGGGCTGGGCAAAAAAAAATCACCGAGCAGCAGCAGGATAAGGAACTTGCTGCCAAGCCTGAGGGCCTGAACTTGTTCCCAAGGCCTTACATGGTCGAAGGAGAGACGTGACTTCTGAAAGTTAGTTCTCTGACCCCCACGCTTTCAGGCTCCGTGCATGCCCGCCCCCACGCCCACAGATAAATGAATACGTGAATAATTTAAAAATTAAAAAAAAAAAAGTACCGAGCAGAAGGTCACGGTGGGTGGCTCATGCCTAGAATCCCCGCACTAGGGAAACCGGTGTGAGAGGATGACAAATGTGAGACCAACCAGAACTACACAGCGAGACCATGACTCAAGCAAGTTAACGGGGCATACAGAGCTGCGATGGGGAGATCTTCAACTAGGAAAGAAAGCAAGCTCATCCCAGCATGAATGTTCAGGCCGCTCCCAGCTCCAGGACACTGGGAACACCTCCAAAGAAGATTGACAGTGACCCCCCCCCCAATGCCCAGAAAGGCCAGAAAGGTCCGTCCAGGCTGAGTGCTGCGGAATACCTAAGAACAAATGCACCCCGCCCCCATCCAAAATTTTTTTTAAAATCCATGACCAAAAAGGACTGGGAATAACACTGCAAGAAAAAGTGGAACCAATTTGGGGTCACGTGTCCTAAGTAAAACAGATGACCACTGCCCAGTCCCAGGTGGGAGAGCCAACCCTGTGTGGTCAAACCTTCAGATTTTTCCATATAAACCGGAAGCATAGGTTACGGGAAATTTACTGATTTTTAAAAACAAATGTAAGTAAGTAAATTGTAAAAGCATAATAAATAGGAAATTTTGCCGCTTGCTGCTAGGGAGCTCAGGTATAATTAAGTAGCTTATCTCCTACTTACAGGATAGCAGGCGAGTGGGGTGGACCCGAGGACTGACACAGACACACACACACACACACACACACACACACACACACACACACGAAAATAACATTTCCCCTGCATCTTGGGAAATTACCCACTTCTTGGCGTCGTTATCCCCGCCCCCAACCCCGAAACATTCCTGCACACAGTAGACACAAATTCGCTCAACCATCCTTTTCCAATCTTTTTACAGTCTACATAGTTTGCTAAGCAACCCTTCCAGCTTCTCTCTCTCTCTCTCTCTCTCTCTCTCTCTCTCTCTCTCTCTCTCAACAGCGCGGTGTAGATGAGGTATATAAGCCCATTCACCAGCCACGTCTCGTGGGAGAGGAAGTTTTGGTCAAATCTGAAATGATTTCCAAAGAAAAAGGCAAAAAGAAAACAGGAAAAGAACAAGGAAGGAGGCGCGGCTTCGCATGCACGGGTCCCGCACAGGTAGATTCACTCAGGAAGGAGGGCGTGGGGAAACAAGTCCACAAGTTACAGGTGTAAGCCCAGGTCAACCTGGGGGAGGCGGGGAGCCGAACACAAATGGAAGCGTACGGTGGGGTGCGCCGGCGCCACGGGCAAAACCAGAACGCAGAGTTAGGAACGAAAAGGAAAGGAAAAAAAATAATAGATAAAACCACTTTCCCCTCCACGTGCCCCTCGGTGGGCCCTGCCGCACACGATCGCGGAGCTTTCGGGTTCCCAGGCTGGGGGGTGGCGAGTCCCTTACCTGCCGAGCCCTGGCGGGCCAGAAGCGCCCCGAGGCACAGCAGGACGCGTAGCCGGGCCATCGCGCCCCAGATCTACGGCCGAGGGAAGCGCAAGGCTCTGGGTGTGCAGGGTTCCTGGGGTTCCCGGGCCCGCGGCGAGGGGCTCCCCGACTAGGATGCTGCGGCCGAGCCCGGGCGATCGCCTCTGGGGCGCGCGCCCCGCCCCTGCGCCCAGCCCGCCCGGCGGAAAACAACAGGCGCGGGCCCCCTCCCGCCTCTCCGGCAACTTCCTCCACCTTGGCCAGGAGGAGGGCCTTGTGCGATGATCCCAGTCCCTCGGGGCTGGGAGGAGGCGGCCCTGAGCTCTGGCCCGCCGGTGCGGGACGCGCTCCCGGCCTGTGCCCTGCGCGCGGGCTGCGGGGCACCGGGCGCCGTCCCAGCCCTGCGGCTCTATTGCTCTTGTCATCTGGGTTCTCGGGTGCAGGGGCGGGCCACAGCGCCGCCATCGCGCAGAGCCCAAGGAAAGACGATCCCTCGGCCGTCCGGCCAAAAGCAACCACGAGACTCGGGTGCTCGAATGAACTTGGGTCGAGACCACACGGGAAGAGCGAGTTTTGTTTTCAGGTGCTTCCACGCCTGTCCCGTTGGCGATCCCCACCCTCCCGTCCTGGCAGATCCCCGGAGCGGAGCGCCACATTTCCGGGATCAGCTTTCTGGCATCCCATCTCTGCGTCCTGGTGGACACCGCCACTGCTGGGCCCTCGGGAGGATATCTGCCCTTGAAACAGCTCTGAGAGAAGAAAGAAACTTCGTGTTCAAAAACAAGGATGTAGTCAGCCCCGTGGAATCTTTATTGTGGGCTCCGGGAGGTGGGCGTCCCTCGGCTCCCGCTCTTCCAGATTTTCTGTGTGTTTATAAAATATTGGGAGGACTGAGGATGGCGCTCAGCGCTATAGCTCCTGCACCAAACCCTGGGTTCCATCCCCAGCACCTCGAAACCAAAGTAAAATATGGGGAAAAGCTACACTTGGAATAAAAATCGCTGGTTCTGTTTTGAAAAGCCCCCCCCCCCCCCCCCCGCCCCGTGGGGCTTCCTTGCCTTGGAATAGGTAAACAGAAGGTGTTTATCCTGATGGCCCCCACTTCCTGTTGGTGTCCCCAGGGCCACACACCTAGCTGCCACCCAATATGTATTAAATGAATGTGTATTGTTGTTTGACACAATCATGTCTGTCGGTCACTCAGTCTTTTACCTTGAGGCAATCCTCCTGCCTCAGCTTTCCACGTGCTGGGATCACAAAGGGTACGCCATGCCTGGCTAAGTTAACTGGTTTTGATGTTTCTTCCGCTCTCCAGGCAAACATTCTGGCCTGGAGTCAAAAAGCTTTCGGTAGAAGCATTGCCCAGCCATGTTTTGGCTAAGAGTCTGGAATGTTCTGGAACCTTGATGGTGCCCAGGGAGGGGAGCTTCAAAGAGTAGGCTTGGGGAACTTGCTGATTCAACCACAAAGTTCCTGCTGTCCTTGGACCTGAGATACCATTCAGCCCCTTTTTAATGGGTACAGCCTATTACTCCCGAAGTTGCTCTCCAAGACACGTTGGTTGTTGGTAAAACCAGGACTGGATTTCACTTATCGCACCCCAGATCCTGCTCGACCAGGTTCCAACGCTGTGGCTTCTTCCAGAACCACCAAGGCCAAGGGGACTTAGGTCTGGATACTTGGGCATCACGGAGAGGAAATAGCCACCCGTTGGTTTAGGGCCAGGGGTGGTGTTGGGAAACACCTTGGCCGGACATCCACTCCTGAGAGTCAAAGATGCCCTGCCAAGAAGACTCACAGGACAGCTGGGGCTCCCCATGGGGACTTGAGCAAGACAGACACATCACTAAGAGACCCTCATGGGGCTGTATAAGGATAAAGTGCCTTGACTTACCCCAAAGTCATCAACCACCATTTTGATAGACAAAACTGAGCGTTGTCAGAGGAATCTCATTTGAGCCGGGACCCTAAATCCCACAATCAAATCTGGATTGTGGGGGCCTGGAAAGAGGACCCAGCAGCCAAGAGTGCTCACTGCTCTTGAAGAGAACCTGAGTTTGGTCCCAGCACCCACATTAGGCTGTTCACCACTGCCAGTAGCTCCAGGGGATTGGCCCCCTCTTCTGGTCTCCCAGCACACCTTCATGTGTATCGTAACTCATATACACAAGTGAAAAATAGGTAGAGATAAAAAAATAGAAACTGTGGAGCAGATAAGCCTCCGTCTAGGTTGCTACCCGTGGCTGGTCTTGTCTGGTTTGGATTCTCCCCCCCCCCCAATCAATGAATTAAAAGACAGGGAAAATCTCACAGAAAGAAGGGGGGGGGAGCGAAGAAGCACAGCAAGGCACAGAAAGTGTCCCCAACAGAGCAAAGAGAGGCTCAGGGATGCTGAAGTCCAACCCCCTGGGCAGTCTGGGCAGCGGGATCCAGGTACCCAGCTTTGTGAGCTGTCACACAAGCTGGGGTGGGCTTTGGTGATGCAGCTGACTTTGAGTCATTTCCATTCTTGTAAGTGACCCCAATAAAACTCATTGGCTCACCAAATTGGACTTCGGTGGTGTGCTGTGGGGTGGTCCTTCTGTACGCTGTGAATGTGTGTTGCTCTCATTGGTTGATAATAAAGCTGTTTTGGCCTATGGCAAGGCAGGATAAGGTTAGACAGAACAATCAAACTGAGGGGAGGAAGAGGGGTGGAGTCCAGGCAGACGGGAGGCAGCCGCCCAAGGAACAAGATGCCAGAGGACTGGTAAACCATGGACCACGTGGCAATACATAGATGACTAGAAATGGGTTCATTTAAATGTAAGAGCTAGCATTTTCAAAAAGATTTATTAAGTAGACAATGCTATGCCTGCATATATGCACGCACACCAGAAGAGGGCACCAGATCTCATTACAGATGGTTGTGAGCCACCCTATGGTTGCTGGAATTGAACTCAGGACCTCTGGAAGAGCAGCCAGTGCTCTTAACCTCTGAGCCATCTTTCCAGCCCCTAGTTAGCATAATTAAGCCTCTGTGTGGTAACTTGGGAAGCGGCTGCTGGGTATTTGGGATTGGGCGGACGGAGCAGAAAGCTCCGACTCTGCTCACAGTGGTATCATTCTTTGGTCTGTTGTGGGTTCCCTACCTGGGGTGAGTAGACATGTGTTGCATCTCCCCAGGAAAAGTTTGTCACATAATACAAACAGCCATAGCAGGAAAAGACTTCCAGGCTGTTGTCTCAGGTCAGGAGGGTGGAAAAGAAGCAGTGAGCTTCTGATCTTCATTATCTACTAGACAGAATTGCCCTGTCTGTCTGTCTGTCGGAGACATGTCTAGCTCCTAGTCACTCACACGCATTTGGTTACGCGCTCCTTTGCTACCCAGAAAGGTAGATGTCGTCAGCCGGGCGGTAGTGGTGGCGGCAGCACTCGCCTTTAATCCCAGCACTCGGGAGGCAGAGCCAGGTGGATCTCTGTGAGTTCGAGGCCAGCCTGGCCTACAGAGTGAGATCCAGGACAGG